AACAACGTGGATGGATCTAGAGGGTATTATGCTCAGTGAAATAAGCCAAGCAGAGAAAGACAAGTACCAAATGATTTACCTCATTTGTGCAGTATAACAATGAAGTAAAACTGAAGAAACAGAACAGCAGCAGACTCAGACTCCAAGAAGAGACTAGTGGTTACCAAAGGGGAGAGGTGGTGGGGGAGGGAGGCAGAAAGGGATTGAAGGGTATTATGATTAGTACACATGGTGTAGGAGGGGTCACAGGGAAGACGGTGTAGCACAGAGAAGACAAGTAGTGACTCTCTGGCATCTTACTACACTGATGGACAGCAACTACAACGGGGTATGTGTGGGGACTTGATAATATGGGTGAATGTAGTTACCACAATGTTTTTCATGTGAAACCTTCATAAGAGTGTACATTAATGATACCTTAATAAAAATAAATAAATAAAATGTACTAGCTCACTGAATCAAGAGTATATTTAAATACATTACAATCAAGTAGGACTCCAGCAGTGTGAATCTATCAAATAAATTGCAGCATAACTAAGGGAGAAAAAAAGCATGAATACCACAATAGATAAAATGCAAAAAGAAAGCATTAATAATTTATGATAAAACCTCTGAGCAAACAAGAACTAGATGGCAACTTCCTTAACTCATTCAAAACCAGACATCTCAGGAGGAACTTTCAGATGCATTCTTTTTGAGATAAGGACCACAAACTTGCTCAGATTTCTACTACTGTTCAATATAGTCTAGAGGCTCTGGTCAGAGAGGTAAGAAGCAAAAGAGAAAAAAAGCACAAAAATTGAGAGTGAAGAGATTCAGCTGTCTTTGTTGATCATATGATCAATTACATCTAAAACCAGTATGATCAAAGCAAACTATTACATGTAGGTGGTCAATAAAACTGTCAAACACAAGACCAATTCACAAGCACAAAGCACTTCTCTATCCCAGCAAGGCCCAACTGGAGGCTGCGGCCAGAGAAAGCGCCAGTCACACCAGCAACAAGAACTACAAAGACTCCAGGAACCCACCAAGAGAAAACACCAGACCTTTACAGAGTAAAAAGGACAGGAGAGAGAGAGACGGGGGAGCGGGGAGAGAGAGAGAGATGCTCTGGATGGAATGGCTTCATATACCAGGAGGTTAATTTTTTCTCAAATTAACCTATAAATTCAATGTAATCTCCATTTATGAAATTCAGCTGGAGTTTTAAAAGAAAATTTATTAACTATTCTAAAATTTTTATCCAGAATAAAGGTTTACAAGTAGATAAATCAATCTTGAAAAAGAAAAGAGGGGAAAAAAGTGGGCAAAGAGAGCTGGACTGACTGACCTAAGGGATAGGTTGAGTCGAGTCCCTCCCCAGTTCGTATGGGGGAGCCCTAACCCCCAGGACCACACAGTGTGACCGTATCTGTTAGGCCTCTCAGTCTGCAGTACTCTGTTACAGCAGCCCTTGCCAACTAATACTACCGGCCAGATGCTCCACTTCCCGCAAAGCAGCGGTAATTCAGACAGAAACTCGGAGACATTCCGCTTTGTAGAGGATGTTGGTACAAGACAGTTGGTACCACCTGTCAGTGAGGAAAGAATGGACTAGCTCTGAAGGGGTCTGCTGTACAGTGGAAAAGAAAACCAGACTCCTAGGTAAGGTCGTATATAAAGGCTGACTCTAGACGCAGGACAAACGTGAATGTGAGAGGTCTGTAAAACCAGTGGAGGCTATCTTTGACACCTAGGCTTGAGAAAGGGCTTCTCAGACAAAAACCTCAAGCTGCATACCCTAACGTGGGAGCTGGCACATTTGACTACGTCAGAAATAAGGACTGATGGGTACTGGATGACAGAGCAGGAGATGTTTATAATGTGTAAACCAATAAGGGACCAATATTCAGATCCTAGATAGAATTACCACTAATCCAAAAGGAAGAGATAGAAAACCCTATCCCCGTAAAAGGACAAAAAATAGGAACAGGCCAGTCACAAAGAGGAAACATAAATGGCAGGCAAACATGGAGGGAGGCACAAGCTCACTGGGCTGGGAAGTGAGCGCACAAACCCCACGCCAGTCACAGCACAAGCCCAGCAGCCCTCCCAGAAGGTGACCTGGCTGCTCACACAGCATCCCACGAGCCAGAGGGCGCTACAGCTTACGGCTGCCAGGAAGAGGCTCCCCGACCTGGGGGAGCTGCGTGGGCTAGCTGCCAGGTCGTCTTTGGCCAGCGAGGGGGCGGAACACCGTTTGTCCCTCACTGGGAGCCCCGCCAGGACACTAACCACGTAGATGCTAAAGTCAGCTAGACACACGATGGACGCAGCTCCTAGGGGACCGAAGGGACAGGAGAGCTGCAGCACGATGCTGCTCTGCATATTAAAATTCAGGTACTCCAAATGATACTACAGGTTTCGGAATGACACATATAAATGAAAAGAGTCACTTTAGAACACTGGCCTAGAGGAAAGTTGGGAGTCGGGATGGGGGATAAAAGGCAGGAGGGCAGCAGAGACAGGGAGAGAGGTGTATAGACTATAGATACATGGGGAGAGATGGAGACAGAGTGCCTCGAGCGGAGGGATACAGCTACGTCCTCTGCCTGGAAGGCCCAGAAGAGGAGAAGGGTGTGAAGAGAACACAGGCTGGCAGACTCCCAGCAGTGCCGGAGGGATGCGGGGTGGCTGCCGCCACAGGAAACCTGACGAAAGTGGCACTGGCTTGGTGCTCAGCTGTGGTGCTGTCAGAGGACAGTGCAGGCTAGCACACTAGCGACCCTCCTTAGCTGAGACAAACAGCCAGGAAAAGGGGCACTTGCTCAGGCCCAGAAAATGGGACCCATGGTCCCAGGGCCTGGGCTCCAGGGTGTGTCAGACACCAGTGTGTGCGGGGGCTGCCTTCCAAACAGGGCCTGTAAGCTAGGGGTTTGCAGAGACGGACAGGAACGGAGAGTCCCAAGGCAGGGGCCTCACGGGCTAGAAAAGCCCACTGCTTGTGGACCAGGAGGTAGGAAACTGCAAACTGACTGGCAAAAGCCTGGGACTACCTGCAGCAGAGCTCAGGTTAGGGTGCTTCCTACCCACTTCAGGCTGCTGCTCCTGCCATCAGTGTGTGTGAGAGAGGTGGGGACACAGCAAAGAAAAGAAGCAGGCCAAGCAGTGTGTCTAAGAAATCGGCCGCTGAACCATGGTGGCCAACACGGGGTCTGAGTGGAGGCACACTCACTGGAGGCCGCGGCTGAGGGATGGTCAAAGCAAGCACACGTCTGTGACTGTGTAATCCCGATACACCCTCCAGGCCGCATGCCCCAAGAGCCCACTTCTGATGTCCCACGGACCATGGTGGGCTTCTCAGGGACCAGGAAGGTCAGGGTCAAGTTCCTTAGAAGGCAGAAGCAGGGTAGCCAGACATGCTAAGAAATGGAGCCCCTGGCATCCCAGGCAGCCTTCACTGTCCTTGCCCTGAGGATGCCAGGACTACTGTGGGCCAGGGACTGTCGTGTGTGCCCTTTGTGTCCCCTTTGTAAACGTATTTCCACTGAGCTGATCCTGCTTCTGCTCTGCCATTTCATGCCAGGTGGAATGGATTATGTGAGAAAGATGGCTGGTCTTCTGGTTTGCACACAGGCCATGTGGGCTGGATGGGGTGCTGCCCACCACCTGGGCACTGGATGCCAAGGGTGCAGGGACTGGATGGGACTTCCCGTTGGCCCCGTGAAGTTGACTGTGGTAGACACACCACATTCTCCCCCGATCTGGCCTGCAGCCCAGAAATGATGGCCCGAGGCTCCCCTTGCAGCCAAGCCTAGCTGGGCTGCCAAGAACTTTCCTGTGTAATTGGATGGAGTGATGTGTGCAACTTCTCCGTCTGAGCAAATCTCAGGCTCTGGACTCTTGCTTTCCTCGTAACAACCAGAGTGGCTTTGAAAGCCTGGGTCCCTGAGTGCCTGCAGGGAGACACACTACTGGACTGAAATGCTTTCCTTGGAACTGTTATGTAAGACACACACTTCCACATTTTTAAGCCTCTCTGTTGCAGGGTCTGCTAAGTCATTACAGTAGTTGAAATGCATCAACATCATGTCCACCAGAAGAAAACATGGAAAAATTAATATAGACAACTTATTAGGAGAGTGAGACTGTTTTCCTCCTTTTCTCCTTTTCCTTCAGTTTTCACAGTTGCTATGGTAACAGTACTGATTAGGTATCAGCTTTAAAAAAGGACCGAATGACATACTTTGTCCGTGTGTGCTTACATTCTCTTTGACACCGACGTTACCGCAAGTAACCCCATCATGGAAAAGGAAATGGGAGTGTTTTGGCAATCAAATAGGAAACAGAACTTCAATAAAAGAAAAGTAAAAAGGACACAGAATAGTATCCTTCTGGGTAGCTTCTGGGCAAGGAAGTGTTACAATTTCAGACTCCATCTTTCAGACTCTGGACGACTGACTCTGGCTGGGCGAGCTCCCCTGACCACCCTGAAATGACTGGAGACAGGCAGCTTTGCTGTGTGGCCTGGAGCCCCAGCAAGATGAACTTAATGGTAAAGCCTGGGAGGAATACTAACTTCTACCCTTAACCTACTTCTCTATTTACTGGGGCAAACAATCAGTAATGGCAGGAGGAGACAGCAGGAAGATAGTGAAGGTATGGCAGGCAAAGTTCAAGTTTGGCTCAAACGACACAGCTCAGTTTTCAGCTCTACTTACTAGCTGTGCCACCAGGTGCGTGTGAGCTGGCACTCGGTTCTGCCTTGTCACTTACATTTCCTCCCACTCTGTGACTTTCTCAGGGACTGCTGGGAGACTCAAATAAAATAAATGCAATAATGCATTAACAGGGCCTAGGGCAAGGTCAGACACACACCAGGTCCTCACAGATGCGTCTATTCCCAGTGTCTGCAGGGAGGAGGATACAGGGCTGGAAGGCAGGCTGTGCTAAGCTTTGCACTGCAGACAAGCAGTGGGAAGCCAGGTTTGTGATACGGACACAAAGCCAACCCCCACCTGAACTTTGTGAAACATCTGTAAATTAATTGCTTTGACGTCTTCCAGTTGCTGGCGGAGGGCCACAAGAGTGTCCTGCTTCTCATGGGTATCCTTTTCTAGTAACTTCATTGCAATTTCCATTTCGGTTTTCATTCCAATTTGTAGCTCCAGTTCTTTTTCAAGTTCCTTAAAAGGATATGAACAAGGAAAATGTTTAAGTAGATCAGAGAAATGTATTTAACTGATGTATCTTAGGCAATGACTGAAATATAAACTGAAGGTCAGAATAGGTTAGAGAGATTTAGGAAAGTCTGTCCGGAGTGTACCTAGATGAAGTTCTCCTTTTTTTTCTCATTTTACAAGGAAAAGCAGTTCTGGGTCAAGTTAACAGAAAGCTGGTAGGTGGCAGTATCAGCTAGCACTCCAGCACCATGTTCTTTAAACCCCAAGATCAGAGGGCACAGGTCTGAAAGCCAGAGACATTTGCTTGCCTGGCAGTGTTAGAGCTCCTGAGCAGTTTGCAAATGGATGGCATCAAGGGTGCAGCCACTTGGAAAAAGTTCTGCTACTGGATAATTCGGGACGTATGTTCCCCACATCCATGGAAGGAGATGAAGCCAATGCAAGAGCTGTGTTTAATAAAAACACCGGTCACTGCCACACAAACTGGGTGGAAATAATCAGACCAGAAGCTGTGACTGAGGGAGCTGTGTGGCCAAAGAAAGCCGGAGTCTGGTCCTTTTCATAAAAAGGATTATGATATTGGAAAAAATGCAGAACTGAGTGATAATATAGCTTTTCTTTTTTGAGGGACAATTCTGACTCTCCATATTTTTTTTTTTTTTGAGAGGGCATCTCTCATATTTATTGATCAAATGGTTGTTAACAACAATATAATTCTATATAGGGGACTCAATGCTCAATGCACAATCATTAATCCATCTCAAGCCTAATTCTCATCAGTCTCCAATCTTCTGAAGCATAACGAACAAGTTCTTACATGGTGAACGAATTCTTACATAGTGAATAAGTTCTTACATGGTGAACAGTACAAGGGCATTCATCACAGAAACTTTCGGTTTTGATCACGCATTATGAACTATAAACAATCAGGTCAAATATGAATATTCGTTTGATTTTTATACTTGATTTATATGTGGATCCCACATTTCTCCCT